CAAGGATTCAAACTCATGGGACTAGGGAGTCAGTGCCTAGTGTTTGGCCTCCAAAGTAATTTGGTTTTGCTAGGAAAAAATCTTGGTCTTTGTTAAAAAAAAAAAAAGAAAAAGGAAAAAAGAATGGGGGATACTTGGAGGTATCCCTTAGCAGCGCCCTGTAGCAAACCGTCTGTGAGACTGGGAGTCAGCCAGCCCGAGTTTGAGCTTCACCCTTGCTGAATAATCCTTTGTGCCACCTTAGTCAAGTCTTTTGTCTCGTTTGCATTGCTCTTCCTGGCCCTCCGTGCTAAACTGCCCTGAGGCATGCGGCAAAAGGCAGTTCCGTCCCAGTGATGCATTACTGCTGTTAACCCACGGGCCTGATTGTGAGCCGCGCTTTCCATCAGCATCAGTGAGGCATTCGCTCTCAGAGCAGTCACCCAATGGAGCTCCAAGCTGCTGGGAAGAAAAAGGGACATATTACTGAGATATTTTATTGTTTCACCTAGCATTATAAAATATTTATCTCAGTGGTACTGTCAGATGCCCTGACATGAAGAATGATATCCTCCATCTCAGGCATTCACTGTATTTATATTTTATATTGCTGTTTTTAATACAAAAGTCTTCTTGTACCTGTAATGAGAAATAAATCAAATAAAGGGCTTATGTTGGGGAGGATAGTGGTGTGGCTGATTAAAATTTTAGGAAAGATAGAGGGAAAAATATTGAACCAATTGTGGTGCTTGCTTTGATCTGATCATGGTGGTTGATAACACAGATTGTCAAACTGGAGATGAGCTTATGAAGGATATAAATGTGTTTTTTATTGAACAAAGTAGCATTCCAGAAAATGTTCTTTCAAAGGCAACAGGTTCTTTAATTACAGCCTTCAGGGGCATTGTTTGATCACTGTAAATAAGCTGCTTTATTCTGGGTTCTCCTAAAACATTGGTTTGAGGGGTTTTTGCATTATATTGCATACATCTTTCTCAAATCAAAAAATTCTGTTCTCAAGGTTACTTGATTTACATTTACAAAGAGTTACATTTTCTTTGTGACTTGAGTGGGAAAAACAAAGTTATTGTTTTACAACAACAAATAAATGTTTAGAAAGTGTATTTTAATTTTATTTTTCAATCTATTGTGTAAGGGGGTCCACATTACACAGCTGAAGTAAAATATGACTCTCAGTGTCATATTGTCACAAAGTGAGAATTTTCAAAATGTCTTAAGATTAATTATCATGGCTTCTAAAGGAAAAAGAACTTTTATTATCCTTTCTGAAAGCTATGCAGTTTCCCTGGCTCCCTTTTACCAGCACAAATATTTGCTGCAAGTGCTTAGGTAATATTTTTCTTGTCTGAATGTAATCTTCATTGTATTATTCCAGGCAAACTGCCAAGCAAGGGATAAAATCAGGACCAAAGCAATCTAGTTGCAGACAAATATATAATTAAAATCAATACTGTATGTGCAATTGCACCCCTGAAAATGTGGCTCGCAGATTTTAATTTCATTTTTTTTAAAAAATCCTAGTATTGATAAAAATGTGGCTTCTGCAATCATGGTCTCAGTCAGAAATTATTCACCCAACCTCTCACCGTCATAGTCTTTCAACCTTTTGGCCTATTTCAAATAAATCTGATAATATATACTTCACTATTGATAAGTTGGTCTCTGATGTCTTTAATTGGATGGAAAATGTGCTGGCATATCTCCATTATTCCATGGTTATATGATTTATCTATCTATCTATCCATCCAACCTCTCTTCTGGAAATGAAAAGTACTATCCTGTGGTTTTCACTGGTGATAATACAAAGCACTTTGTTTGCCAGTGGATTATGTACCCATGTTAATTTCTTTGATGGTAAGACAATAAGATCCCTTGATTTTAATTTTCTTGGGGGGTTTTGTGGTATCACTCTGTTGCAGATTAAATCATTAAATATTCTTCAATAACAGTTTTTTGAAAACTTTAGCCCCTTAACTGCTCCATTCAGTGGATGAGGGAGAGACTGTGGATGTTGCCTACTCAGACTTCAGGAAAGCCTTTGGCACAGTCTTCCACAACATCTCTTGGGAAAAGAGATCAGCAGCCCACAGCTTGGATAAGTGTACTCCTCACTGGATATAAAACTGGCTGGATGGCCAAGCCCAGAGTAGTGGTGGTGAAAGAATGACAAGAAAGACATTGAGGTGCTAGAGCATGCCCAGAGAAGTAAAATGGAGCTGGTGAAGGGGCCTGAACATAAATCCTTTCAGGAACAGCTGAGGGGGCTGGAGAATTTAAGCCTGGAGAAAATGAGGTTAAGGGGAGACCTTATCTCTCTCCAAAACAACCAAACCTGTGGGGAGGTGAGGGTCGTCCTCTTCCCCCAGGCAACCAGTGACATAACAAGTGCCAGAGGAGGCTCATCTTGAATACTGGGAGTAAAATGTTCACTGGAAGAATGGTTAAGCATTGGAACAGGCTGCCCAGGGAAATGGTGGAGTCACTACACCTAGAAATTTTTAAAAAGTTAACAGACATGGCACTTCATGATCTGTATTAGCAGCAGCCAGCCTCCTGATGGGAGCTGTAGCAATTTCCATTGAGACAGCTGAGTTAGTCTGTGTAGAATTGTTAGGGCACTGCAGAGAGCAAACAACTATGCACTATATTTACAATAAGAAAAACAGATTGTTCTTTTTTGTTAAAGGGCAGCAGCTCTCTTGGTCTTCTGCTCAGTATCAGAATTGTGGAAAGCGTGTGTAAACAGCATGTTTCTTCACCTGGGGCTGGTTGATATTTGAGTGGCACTATAATCCAGAATATCTCTGAGTTAGTCCTCATCCTGGTGTGCAGCAGAAAGCCTGCTGGGTGAGTTTGGAATCTAAGTACAGCAGAGCCCTTAAGCCTGTATAGGGTCCTCAGGAAACCTGGGAATGTTGTCCCATCCAGCCTGTGAAAAGCATCTTCCAGATGGTTTTTTACTTTATTTTTTCAACCAAGATTCCTTCTCCGGAGGGTTAAAACCCTACATCTTCTTCAGGGAAGCTGAGGATTTTCTGGGGTCCATCTCAGTTGTTGAGAGCATTGCACAAGCAACCAATAGCTTTGTCTGGACACATACAACAGAGCACACTTAACCAGCTGCTCAGCATTACTCTCCATCATTCTCCTGTTGTTTTGTGGTCTCTACTGAAGCTTTGGGTAGGTTTAGGTTACAAGAATAAGTTATGCTCAGGCTGGGCTCCCAGTGACTTCTCTTGAGGTCTAGCAGATAATCAAGCGCGTGTCGTTTGCAAGTGCTGCAGCAGAGTTAATAAATAAATCACAGACTCAGTAAGAGATGCTTATCAGTCTGGGTCTGGAGTTGTTCTTGAATAAACAATAGGAAGATCAGTCAGCTAATAGTTGGGTTTTTTTGGTGTGACACCTGGGTGGAAAAAAAAAGCTAAGCTGTTGGGTTTTTTATTTCCCTCCCTCCCAACATCCCCACCAGCTACAAGGAGAGCTGTAAAGAGTGTTGCTCCTCAAGGGGAGTTCTGCCAGCAATGATGATATTTCAGTACAGGCCTTCTCAATTATTGATTGCAACTATGTAGCCAGAAGTCAGGTTTTAAATATTTCTCATTGCCTGATACCATTCTGTTTACCTAGGTTAGGAAAAAAAAAAACCAAAAAAAGACTTTATACTGAACAAGATGTAAGGGCTTAGACCAATTGTGTGAAGGAAAATCTGTCTTAGAGGAGATAAAGAAAAGGGCAAAATTAACCCTGAGAACCAACTGGGGAAGGGAAAAATGGAAATGAGAAAGAAAGTATTTTGGTAGCTGAACTATATTAGTAGGAGAGCAAATAAATGCATTCACCAATGCATTGCGAGTGGAAATGAGAACATTTCTCACCACAAGGGAAATGATACTTTGAGATGAGATTTCAGAAAGGGCATATCCATATCACTTCAGGACAGATCTTGGTTAGTTCTTAGGAGGAAATGCACAGAAGAATGGAAGCTAGTATTAAAATCATCATTTCTGTTGTTCTATGTTCAATGCAATTCTATTTACAGATGGAACACCATGTGTTTACTGCATTGTCTTTATCTATAGTTAATTGATCCCATGCTCCAAAACTTCTGCCAATCTTCTGCAGAGACCAGGAGGAATTTTCCTTCTTCTGAATAACTTGGCTTTTGAGTTTTTTGGCTTTATTCTTCTTCCTGTGCACCTGCTACTGAAATAGTAAAGGTTGACCACAACCAGAATGGAGAAGGGAGGACTGGTTTTGGTAGGACAAGATACACTTCCAGGTTTGTCTGAGGAAGTGCTAAAACTTCCTCAAAAAGTTCCTTCCAAAAAGCTGGATTGCTTTGTTCCTTTTCTCAAAGCTCTGAGCATGACAGATAAAAGGAATTTTTTGCTGCCAGATCAGAATCAATATGTTAATTTCAACATGGAAGAGGGATTGCCATTGTTAATCTGCTAGTTTTCCAATTTCTTATATTTTCTTCAGGTCTTCTGTTACCACAGGAAACTCAAATGCTAATTGCACTTAGATGTCTCTTGTCCTCTCCCTGGGTACCTTCAATGGTCTGTGGATTTCTGTTTCTTGCTGTAGTCTGTTGTTTCCTATGGGATATGCTATGCCCTGTGCAGTGCAGAGGCGCCTTTAGTGCCTGAGCTCCACTGCCTCCCGGTTTCAGGAGACAGCTCCTGACAACCCAGGTAATTGTGTGCTCTACCTCTACCTATATTGGTCAAATGTTTTGGTCTAATAATTTGGAAATGTAGATTCTTCAGACCTTGTTCTCCTCGCATGCATTGAAGAACCGTGTACACATAGAGCTGATTTGCCACAGAAGTCACAAGATGGTTTTTCTCATAACCCCGAGGAAGCAAAAGAAAATTAAGTTAATTATTATTTCATGTTTACGTATGACTTTTGGCTTCACTCAAAGAGGTAAAGATTCTTGACAAAGAGAGAAAAAGCTAAATAATGATTTTCTTTCCTTTTGTATTTCTTTTCAGGCTCTGTCTATGAGATGTTTGGAAACGAATGCTCCCTGTCAACAGAAGAAGTCATTAAAGTTATTGGCTTCAAAATTAATAAGCTCATAGCAAGTATCTGTGAGAATAATGAAGTCAGCCAGTTTTCAGCCAAAGTGGAATTACCACTAAATTTTCCTGGTATAGTATTTCATGCATTCATGTTTTTGAGGAGTTATAGCCCTGAGTAATCACCTTTGTTCATTTTATTGATTTGTTGTCTTGATTGATATTTGAGGTTACAGCTCAGCTGTCAGAAATACAGATTTTATCAGATGATACAAGACACAGTCAACTAATTTTTAAATTTCAACTCTTACAATCCTTTCTCAAACCTGGATAGAAATTATTGAAATTATAAAGTTTTGTGGTAATGTTTTCTACATTTGGAGTCCCTTGGTGTAAGAATTACAACAAAAAAATCTTCTTTTCATTTACTTATGACTTTGCCAAACCCTGTCTGAGTTGAAATCTTCTTTGTCGTGTTCTCAAACTATAATTTATTTACTATTAATAAATCTGTATTTTATTATTTTGGGTACAAAATATTTTCAATAATTTGTTTTCAATAGTGCTTTTATTTTAATGATTTATTTTAACTATGGTGGCCAGAGTTGGTCCATGCTTGGAAAGAGGACTACAGGGGAATAGATGTGTTTTTCTGCTTAAAAACCTCTTTAATTGTTCTACAGAGAAATCCAAATTTTGGATTTTGGAGTATAAACTTCAAATTTTGGCATGTGCTACTGACTTGTTACTTGAATCATATCTTCCTCTCTTTGTGTTGCCCTGTTAAGGAGAGCTGGCCAAGTACTGAACCCAGTACTATTTCATCATGTGTCATATTTATTAATTTTTGAATTTTGCTCTCAGTTCTTTTACTGTTAGGGCCCAGCAGAGTTGAACAGGGAAGTGAGTAAAGCACAGAGGGAGAAGTGCATATCCCATATGTGGGAAGTGTAGGAGGCAAACTATTTTAGGAAAATGGTAGAAAAAATTTTGACCTCAGAGCAGGACAGAAGGGTGAAGACTTCCCATGCAAAGATCAGAGACCGGAGGCAGATGAAGGTGATTTCAGCAGCAGAGGAAGACTTGCAAGTAGGGCAGTTCCTATGCTGGGAGTCTTGCAGGCAGCAGAGGTAATGGGAGTCCCTTGGGGAGAGGAGATGAGCAAGCTGAAAAACTGCATGAGGAGGGCAGGGGGAGTGGGAAGGAGCCTGGGGGAGAAGCTGTGGGACACTAGCGTAAAGGAAACACTGGTACAGAGCACACACAGTACACAACAGACTTCAAGAGTCTGAGATTGTGCCCAGGACTCACTTTGGCCATCAGCCTAGCTAATGGACTGAATGAGGTTACAGTTCTGTACAAAAGAA